AGAGAGGAAGTCAGTTCTCTGGAGCATTTCCCTCTTCCCACCAGCATCACCACAGTCATTTAGCTTTAGCTGGCTGCTCTTTCTCCGGGAGCTGATTTTGGCCAGGCACAGAGGGAGCTGGGTGATGATGCCGTTTGCATTTGATGTGAAGTATCTGTACAGCTGGGTATCGTCTCCATGCTGCAGGCACTCCGGCCTCTGTTGTCTCGCCAGCAGTTCCAACAGCTTCATGGAGATGTTGCGTTGTGTGTGGAAGAGGATTGAGCCTGGTAGTGCACTGCAGGTGAGAGGTATAGAGACACATGCACCAATGCCCACAGCAGCCCTCAGAGTTATCTGGGAGGAAGTCCCTGATTCAGGCATTTCCATTCACTCGAGACCTTCTTGGAGATGAGGCAAAAGTATTTGCTGATCATTGGTATCAAATGCTACAGAGGCCCAGCAGGATGAGGATGGATGGACTCCCCTGGGATCTGGACAGCGGGTGGACATCTGTCAGAACCAAGAGTCTCAGTACCATTCCCTGGCCCAAAGCCAGGCTGAGCAGATTCCAGGATATTGGCAGCTGATCTAACAACATACACTGAACTATATTAAACTACGCTTTTAACACCAAAACGGGGGTGGAAAGTACGGTGCATGGGTTTGTGGAGGTAGCCAAGCTAATGCTGCTGCTGAGACTTTTAACTACTGCTTTCCCTGACTTGCAAGTCTACTGCCTGAAAGTATCATCACCTTATTTTCCCCCATTAGATTTCCAAACGACGGGAATAGCCCCCTGGGTGCATTTCTCATCAATGCACTTCTGGTACCTCTACTAAGTACTTTGTTCCTTTATCTGCCCCGGAACCATATCCGCGCTTCTGGGAGTGCACACGGGGCAGTGCTTATAACCTCTCCCCAGCTGCCTTTATTGGAGTCATGCAGGGCTGGACTGGCCTCAGGTCTCCCCGTCCCCCAGTGCCAGAGATCTCCCAGTCAGTTATTCCAGTCTAACGGGGGCATGCGTGGGCCCAACAGTGCATGGCAATAAAATGCACCCAGGGCACCTATGATCGTTTACACAGCAGTTTTACCCCTATCATCTGCTAAGGGTCTCTGGAAAGAGACCTCTCCCACTGCCTGGACTTCCTGTGCTACGAATTCGGTCTCTCCCCCGTCGGCTTTGCCTTCTTCCTGGTCAAACAGCATCTCGTCTCCACTGTCCCCTCGGCTCCCACACCAGCATTACCAGCCACCTCTTCGCCATCCTTAATCCCCTCCTACTGCCTTCCCTCCCCCACCCCAGTGCCTGCCTCCCTTGCTGTGCAGTATCAGGCGGGACTCGGCTGTGTGGCGGGAGTGTGCTGTAGCCCTTACAGGGGTATCTTCCTCAGTGGAGGCAGGGGGCCCCAGGAGACCAGAGCGCCCCCGGGGCGATGCAGGTCCACACTTACTGCAGGGCTGTGCATACAGTGCAAAATTTCGCCCAATGGTTCTCAACCAGGGGTATGCATATCCCTGGGGTACACAGAGCTCTTCCAGGGGGCACATCAACTCATCTAGAGATTTGTCTAGTTTTTACAACAGGCTACAGAAAAAGCACTAGCTAAGTCAGTGCAAACTACAATTTCATACAGACAATGACTTGTTTATACTGCTCTATACACTAGACACTGAAATGCAAGTACAATGTTTACATTCCAGTTGATTTATTTTATGATGATATGGTAAAAATGAGAAAGTCGGCAATTTTTCAGTACGAGTGTGCCTGTGACACTTTTGTATTGTTGTGTCTGGTTTTGTAAGCAAGTGTTTTTTAAGTGAGGTGAAACCTTGGGTACGCAAGACAGATCAGACTCCTGAAAAGGGTACAGTAGTCTGAAAAGGTTGAGAGCTACTGATCTAGCCCATAAATTGCTGTCCCTAGAAATCCCCCTCTGTGTAGAGGGTCAAATTCATCATTCCCACATAAAGCCCATTGTCTGGGGCATTGTGCAGAGAGCTAAGTGGCACTATGAATTCACACCCCAAGCCTATGCAAGCGGAAACCACAGCTCCTCCTGACTCACTGTTCCATCCACCAGGTTCAGATAGCAGCTGCTGCCACTTTGTGCATCCTCCTCGGGCAGGATCCTGCGGTTGCTCCATCTTCAGCAACTGCCTCTGCGCTGGTTTGAATCGGCTGCAGCATACTCCCTTGCATGCCTGTTCCACCGATTCACCCAGCTCTGTATCCTCACCGTGAGGTTGAAGTGGTGCACAAGGTGAATTTCCCATCCTGACCTAACTGTGTGGGTGTGTTAACAGAGCACAGAATTAGGTCATGAGGTGAGTCTGTGACTAACCTCTAGGTATATATCTCCCTTACCTATGTCTTTTAGCTAGGTAATTCTAAGGCACTTCTCGCTGTGATATTTAATACTGATCTGTGAAACTGCACTACATCGATGTGTAAAAAAACTTTTCTTTCCATACCAGAGGGGAAAAAATAGAAAGAAAAGCTCTCTCAGAGCCAGCCAGATCAGAGTTAATCCTGGTATCAAAATGGCGGCTGTCACTTCTCCTGTACAATTAGAGGAAAGGCTATTCTATCCTTGTTAAGTAGCTTCCCCCTGTTATAATGCTCTACTTTGTGTTTCAGTAAAAGAAGAAATGGTGAAGCTGCTAATAATGGCACTAAAAGAAAATATGCTACATCTGTTATGGATAGCAGTACAAAATTAGCTGATCACACCTCTGACACCCAAGATGTCTTCACTTAAAATACTCGTTGGCTTACTTTACATAATTTGCTGATTATATTTAAAAGAAATACAATTTTGCAATTACTGTTCTTTCTGGTGTGCTATCTATGCATCATTTTCTTTTTATGTTTATATATTTCTCCTTCATTAGTGCAGTCTGAAGGGTGATTAGATCCCTTCAAACATTTTACAGAGGTTAAACGTTGATTAAGATTTAATTATTACTGTAAATAGCTTGGAATGACATATGGTGCAAAAACCTGACATATGTGCATTTGAATAAATGAAGTGCTATTTCCCATGATGCCTCAGTGGCTGTTTAACAGCTTTGCTGAAGGGTTATGTTGCACCTCATGTTAAGATTGCTTTGATGTTATATTTTGTTGGGTTTGTGCAGCTGAAAAGCGAAGAACAGTTTTTCCAGTTTTTAAAAACATTGAATATTTTAAATACCTAAATTGTTTTGCACAAATTTTTGCTAATTTGTCTAACTAGGTTAAACATTTTCAAAAGCATTTAGATTTTAACGTGGGTTCCTAGCATTGTGTCAGCTACAGCACTGATTAAATGGATAGGATTTTCCAAAATATGATACTGGAAGGTGCAGTGTCCTGTTTCTGGGGAGATCCTGGCCTGGATTGGACAATAAGAATTCCTCCTACCCACCCCAATCTCATCCTCCAAGTACAGAGGTTCTGACTATTTTTGGATCACAGAAAAGCTTTTTTGTAAGTCTGATTGGAAAAAATAAAAGAGATTTCACAGAGAGAAAAAGTGCAGCGGAGAATGGGAAAATGCTGCCTTTAAAATGTTCAGCATAGAAGATCCACTGATAAACTTTTCAAAGATTTATATAGTATATTATTTAGTCTGTTATATAGTGTATTATGTTCTTTAACGCTTCTTTATCGTGCCATAGGTTTGCATAGTGCTTTACAGAGAGAAGTGTAGGACAGGAAGGGACCTCAAGAGGTCATCTAGTCCCATCCCCTGGACTCATGGCAGGACTAAGGAAGACATGGGATAAAATCCTGGTCCAACTGAAATCATCTGGACTTTTGCCACCAACTTCAACAAAGCTAGGATTTCACTGCTAGTCCCAATCCTGAGACTTTAGGGCCCTGATCCTGGAATTGGATCTGAACATGCAGACTCTTGCTCCCACAAGGAGTGCCCCATTGACTTCACTGGGTCTTGGCACAGTCAAAAGGGTGGTGTTAGGCTGCTCAATACCTTTGTGAATCCGACCCAAAGCGTCCATCCATGTGGATCCAACTGCAGGATTGGGGACTGGATTGGATCTGACATGATGGAGGGAGAGGTGGCATCAGGCAAGGGAAAGGGAAATGTATGTAAAATAAGACAATAGAGTTTCTTTTTTTAAAAAAAATGTGTTGTGTGGCTGTTTAATATAGAATTTCAAGAGTTGGAAAGGGCGGGAATATGAGTCATTTCACATACCATAATGCAATATAAACTGGCATGATAAGAGCATGAGTAGGGCAACAAAAATGATTAGGGGACTGGAACACATGACTTATGAGGAGAGGCTGAGGGAACTGGGATTGTTTAGTCTGCGGAAGAGAAGAATGAGGGGGGATTTGATAGCTGCTTTCAACTACCTGAAAGGGGGTTCCAAAGAGGATGGATCTAGACTGTTCTCAGACAGAACAAGGAGTAATGGTCTCAAGTTGCAGTGTGGGAGGTTTAGGTTGGATATAGGAAAAACTTTTTCACTAGGAGGGTGGTGAAACACTGGAATGCGTTACCTAGGGAGGTGGTGGAATCTCCTTCCTTAGATATTTTTAAGGTCAGGCTTGACAAAGCCCTGGGATGGGATGATTTAGTTGGGGATTGGTCCTGCTTTGAGCAGGGGGTTGGACTGAGGTCCCTTCCAACCCTGATATTCTATGATTCTATGATAATCATGGGAAAGTACTTTGAGATCACAGGTGAAGGGCATTACTGAATTGCCAAGCACTGTTCTTGTTGCTTGTTACTAACAGCCACACTCCTGCAGTTCACAGCAGAGGACCTCCGTTGGGCCTGCTATAACTCTCCACTGAATCCTGCAGAGGTTACACCAGATTTGCACAGTTATGAGACCAGAGTCAGGCTCCCTGACTTCAGTGATTTATGCCAGCATAAGTAAAATCAGAATAAAGTCAGCTAAAGTCTTGCATCTGTTTATTTATGTTATTGATGTATCATGCTCCCGTTGCTGTCAGACAATATTAGCTCAATTCTAATCTTACCTCCTCTTTGATTTGGCAGATTGAGACATCTCGACTGGAGCCAGAAATTGCAATGGCCACTACCAGTAAGACGGTTGTCTACAATAAAGGATTGTAAGTGGAAGTGGATCCTCTCAGCACAGAAGATTGGAGGAGCAGAGGGGGACGCTCACAATTACTTCTGGGGGGGAAAATAAACAAACACTAGAACTCAGAGATAGTAACATATTACCACTCTCAGGAGCTGGGAGTGAATTAACACTTTCAGAATACTGACACCTCACATCAGTCAAAAAGATTCATATTAAAAGTTTTAAATTAGCAACAAGAACAAAAACAAATGACTTTCAAGCACGTTAGAGAACTAGCTACAATATAATGTCCTGAATTAGAAACAGCACTGCATGGAAAGGAGTTTAATGATATGTTGACATGGGTATGCCTAACTCTCTGTGAAAGTAGACTACGCAAGACAATTTTGTTTTTTCATAAGAATTAAATCTCAACACTTGGATGCTGCACAGAAATAATTCTGTAGAAATCGATTGGTGCATGAGTTAGAAGCGCTAGATAGGGCATTTGATAAGTGTACAGTATTGATTCAATGTCAATATTGCACCAGTAATCATGCACAAAAACAATGTTCCTTGGTTAGGTTTGTGACACTTTGATTCTAAACAAATAACACAATGAAGGTCATAGCCTGTGTGCCCTCCCTCCCTCTCCGACAAACAACCAGGGTGGTATCCTGGCATTCACTGGACTTACAAGACATTCTGTGTGATTCAAGCCTAATGCACTCGCATATTTGCAGGTTTTGCCCAGGCTAGCAAGCTAACGAAAAGTCAACCTGCCAAGTTAGTGCACAGAATGGGAAGAGAGCTGCTAGTATAAAGAAAACAGATCTGTCATTTAACGTTGCATAATGGACCAAATTCTGTTCTCATTTACACTGACATACCCCTAGAGTAAATCCACTGGCTTCTGTTACATTACACTGCTATAAATGAGAGCAGAATTAGGCCTAATGGTGAAGGGCCAGATCCTTGGCTGATGTAAGCCATCAGGACTCCATCCATTTCAGTGGGACTATGTTGGTTGACACTGTCGGAGAAGTTGACTTATCACATAGATCACATTCTAGTTGCTCACACCACAGTAATTCCACTGCAGCCAGTGGAATTACTGCAGATTTAGGCTGGTGTTACAGAGCTTAGAATAGGTCCCATTGGTGCATTTCACCAGTGAATACAATTAGAATGAAAGGCTCTTTATCCAGGTACGATGGTAATGGACACTATAGAAATGCATATATTATAATGATTAAAATGCCAGGTTGGGTTTGGGGCTTTTGGGGGGAATGTATACAGATGGGGTCTTGCAATGTTTCATAGTGGCAGGCCTATGTGTTACTCCAGTTTTATGCTAGTCTGACTCCTCACTGGAGTTACACCAGTATAAACTTGGAGTTACACTGTGGTGGATCAAGCCAAAGGGATCTGATTCTGCTCCCATGCTGGTGTAAATCAGGAGTAACTGCGCAGAAGTCAGTGGAGTTACACCAGTGGCTAAAACCAGCCTAAGTGAGAGGAGAATCAGTCTCAAAGCATTCTAGCCATACTTAGCTTAGTGGACCAAATCATGTTTTCAGTTATGGTGGTGTAAATCCAGAGTAATTTCACTTATGGGTCCTATTCTGGATTTACCCCAGGGTAACAGACAGCAGAATTTAACCCAATATAGTTCTTCTAATGCACTAGATCACATGAATGTACATGAGTGAGGCAGCCAGTGTCTGCTGAGCAATAGCCAAGCCTAAGGAGTTTAGGAGACAGACGGGAATAAATGTGCTGTACCAAGGCACAGAAGTATAAGAAATAGCAAGAATGGACTTTGATGGGTGCAGAAAATGACGGGGGAAGCATATATTCTGAAGCACATTCCACCAATGCACAGATGGAACATGGAAATATTGAGCTGATGCTCCTCCCCCAAAGCGACTCCATCCTCGCCAAAGGAGCTGCCCCTCGTGCACACCAGCATGGGAGGAGATTCAAGCCCAGGGGCGTTAGAATGGTGTATCCTGGGGGCGAGGGAGTCAGGCCTGTAAAGTCCCGTTCTGCAAGCCACACGCTGCATTATCCTCAGGACACACAGGGCCAGATACTCAGCAGGTGTAAATTGGTGCCACTCCCTTGAGATCGGTGGAACTGTACTGATTTACACCATCTGACCACCAGAAGAACTGATTCTTCACAGTCTTGTGCCTTGTGTCATTCACACGTGCACTTGCACTGGGGGCGTGATCCAAAGCCCATTCAGGTCAATGCCATACTTTCCTTGGGCTTCAGCAGGCTTTGGATCAGGCCCAAAGTGAGTGCCAGGGCCGTACCTTTTTGGTGTGGTAACATCGAACATCCACTTTGCACCGGTATCTAAAATGACACAAGGGGGAATCCAGCACAGAATCAGGCCCATTGATTCCAAGCAGCGTGTACGTGGGTTATGTGGATCGCAGCAGCAATGAAAAGCCAGGCCTACCACTGCAGCTAGGTAAGAAATGGAGCACACAAAGAGGTGAACCGTAAAAATCCCAGCCTGCCACTGAGAAACGCAAACCGCTTTGGACAAAAACACAAATCACAGAATTAGCAAAAGAAAACTGGGGCTTTTCATTGCTGCACTGGTTGGGTGGAAGATAAAAGCCAAATAAATATACATCTGAGCCCCACAACTGATGGAGACACACCTGCATGTATATATGTGGTGGAGAAAAACTAGTATTAAAAATGTGCCAAATGTGTAACAGCTAAACTTAGTTTAAAGTGAAGGTGAATAATCTCATGTTCCTAATGAATGCAGAAACCAGACTGGATCTCGCTGTATGCAGCACCGCCTGTGTTCTGTATTGTTCTGAACTGAAATCCAAGTGGCGAACAAAATCAGCTGCTTCTGTTAACAATGAGCAATGTCCTGGCTCTGTTTTCTATCAGCATCGTTCAGTTTTCCATGTCATGGTGTTTTGTCACCCTTCGAACCACTCTGTTGAAATCCTGCCAGACTCTTAAGGGAGGGGTTGACTGAGTCATTTGAGGGTGTGGAGGAGGTAGAAGTGAGTACTTCTGCATTGCAGCGATGTCACTGCTGGGGAGGGGGGATGATTTGTTTTTACATCATAATTACTGATCAACGATTCCACTAGCTGTGAACTCTAGCTACCTGCCGGGGCTACAGATGGAGTGAGTAATTTTCAACATGCAGAGCTAATTACAATGGCTGGTAGAAAAATATTCAAGGATTTGCTCACTGCATTTTTTTGAGAGAGGTACCGGGGGGGGGGGTTGGGGGGGGGAGGGAGAACACAAGTTTTGCAAATGTTTAAAAAAAAACATTTTTTTTTTAAACTAGTTATTTTTTCCCAAGGAGGATGAGAGACTGCAAATTGTTACACTTCACTCATAAACTTTGACTGCAAAGTGTTTAAGATCAGTGCTTTGCAGGTCATTAATTAGCAGAAAGAAAAGGAGTACTTGTGGCACCTTAGAGACTAACCAATTTATTTGAGCATGAGCTTTCGTGAGCTACAGCTCACTGTAACTGCAGTGCTATCAGGGGTAAACAATTGGACAGTGTCACTTTAACAGGGCTTAGGCCGTAACGATGATCCCCTTTTTCCTAACCTTACTAAAATCAAACTCAGAAATGTCTTTATTTGTCCTCATCACATGGCCTTGCCCTGCGAGGTGCTGAGCACCTGCAGCTCCCATTACTTTTAACTGGAGCTACAGGTGCCCAGCACCTCTCTGAGCATGGCCCACAATGGATATGTTTGGTTTCAGAAGAAAGAGGTAACAATCTGAGACTAGCCTGAACCAAAATCTCGGATCTAAACATCCTTGAATTTTGTAACTGGCTCTTGTATTATATGTAGTCATGTAACTGGTCTGTCTTTGTTTTCTATGTACGTGTTAAGATTATGAGACTGGCCATACTAGGTCAGCCCAAAGGTCCGTCTAGCCCAGTAGCCTGTGTTCTGACAGTGGCCAATACCAGGTACTTCAGAGGGAATGAAAAAACCAGGGCAATCAAGTGATCTATCCTCTGTTGTCCACTCCCAGTTTCTGGCAGTCATAGGTTTAGGGACACCCAGAGCATGGAGTTGCATCCCTGACCATCTTGGCTAGTAGCTATTTCTGGACTTATCCTCCATGAAATTATCTAATTCTTTTTTGATCCCTGTTATAATTTTGGCCTTCACAACATTCCCTGGCAATGAGTTCCATGGGTTGACTGTAGAATGTATGAAAGGGTATTTCCTTTATATTAGTTTTAAATCTGCTGTCTTTTAATTTCATTGAGTGACCCCTAGTTCTTGTGTTATGTGAAGGGGTAAATAACACTTCCCTAGTCACTTTCTCAACATCACTTGTGATTTTACAGTCCTTTATCGTATCCCCCCCTTACTTTTCTCTCTTCTAAGATGAATAGCCCCAGTCTTTTTAATCTCTCCTCATACTGAAGCTGTTCCATTCCCCTGATCATTTTTGTTGCATTTCTCTGTACCTTTTCCAATTCTAATATATCGTTTTTGAAATGGGGTGACCAGAACTGCACGCAGTATTCAAGGTGTAGGTGTACCAGGGATTTATAAAGTGGCATTATGATATTTTCTGTCTTATTATCTATCCCTTTCCTAATGGTTTCTAACATTCTGTTCACTTTTATGACTGTTGTTGCATTACTTTGTGCTTATCAACATTGAACTTTATCTGCTGTTTTGTCACCCAGTTCTCTGAGATCCCTCTGTCACTCTTGGCAGTCAGGTGTGGTCTTAACCATCTTGAATAATTCCCTATTGTTTGCAAATGTTGCAGATCATTTATAAATATGTTGAACAGCACACGTCCCAGTACAGATCTCTGGGGACTCTGCCATTTACCACTCTCCATTGTGAAAACTGTCCATTTATTCCTACCCTTTGTTTCCTGTCTTTTAACCAGTTACTGATCCATGAGGGGACCTTCCCTCTTATCCCATGGCTGCTTACTTTGCTTAAGAGTCATTGATTTGGGACCTTGTCAAAATCTTTCTGAAAGTCAACAAGCTCTATAAACTGGATCACCCTTGTCCACATGCTTGTTGACACCCTCAGAGAATTCTAATAGATTGGTGAGGCATGACTTCTCTTTACAAAAGCCGTGTTGACTCTTCCCAACATAGCGTGTTCATCTGTGTGTCATCTTTAAAAGGCTAAGGCATTTACCTAACGCTCTGCTGTAAAGCTGTCCATTTTGTGATGTATGGGGGATGAAGCATGTGAGGGAGGACACACACACACACACTGTGCTCTCTTTGAGACAATTTAATTTTGTTTTCTTGTTTCCTTGTCTTAATTCCTATGCCTATCCCCATCCCTGGATTCTTGTTCTGTGTTTTTCCTACACAAAGATCAATCGTGCACTTTCCATATGAATGACAATTGTTATATATTAAGGGAAATAACAGAATAAGAAAGAACAAAAGTAAAGGC